TAAAACTTCATTGGGTTAAAAAAAAAAACAAAAACAAAACCATCATGGAGGGTTTTATTAACTGACTTGCTTTAACTGAAGGTCCACTACTACCAGTTGTCCTAGAGTCGATTCCAAATCATGGCAACTCCATGTGTGTCAGAGTAGAACTGTGCTCCATAGGGTTTTCAATGGCTGATTTTTCGGAAGTACACTGCCAGGCCTTTCTTCCAAGGCACCTCTGGGTGGACTCAAACCTCCAGCCTTTCAGTTAGCAGCAGAGTGCATTAACCATCTGCACCAACCAGGGACTCCTTAACGCAAGGTAGTTATTTCAAATATAAATGTAATTGTTTTGCAGGTTTTGAAATCAAGCTTTCTCTTGTTAGATCTTACATGGCAATTTGCAGAAAATTAAGATAATTTGCAAGTAGACAGTTTCTACATACAGACCTCACCATGCACACAGAAGGAATTCAAGATGCCAGACTCCCATGGGTGTGCATACTCCGGGCATCATCACCATCTCCACTACAGACTTCCTAAGACTAATGGTGCATATTTGGTAGAATTACCCATCCTCCCCACTAATAATATACATAGATTTAATATATTTTAATGGAATGTCTTGGGCATGTCTCTCAAATGCTACTTCATGACAACAGAAAGCTATATTAGCGATAGATATCATTGGGTTTATCTGCAAGGCTGTTATTGACTCTGACATTATCAATGCATATTTTAACAACTAGCAAGTATCCAATAAAACTAAGAAGTCTGATATCTGTAGCCAGCCTAAGTTTAAATCATTGGGAAATCATAATTGAGATCAGCACAGATAGTTCTTAATCTTGATTAAAAAGTGAATTTTCCGGGGGCACTATGCTTCTGTTAAGGGTGATAGAAAGATCTGGAAACAGATAGTGGTGATGGATGCATGACATGATGAACATAATTAATGTAACTGAATTGTACATGTAAAAAAATCTTGAAATGACAAATGTTTTGTTTTATATATATGTATGTGTGTATTTATTTACCACAAATTTTTTAAAGAAAATTTTGTAAACAAGTTCATGCATACAATCATTCTCAGATTATGGTTATAATCACCATGGGCCTACAGCAGTATTAGGAGAGGTTACCTCACTTTCTGGACTTTCAATGCTTTTGCAATAATTTTAATAACACTGCATAAATATGAATGAAAACAGTGGCCATAAAACCCATATTTACCCAGAAAAAAATATTCTTAGCCCTCAGCTGCATGAGAGACCAACTTGCTTTTAAGTAGATTTAAATTTTATTAGTAAAATAAGATGTTTCAGAGATGCTGTCTCTGAAGTGTTCCTTCTTATTTCTTTTAACTAGGAGCCTGGCATCCCGGGAATCTTGTTGGCCTTCTGCAAGGCAGCTGCAACTCTGTCTTTAAAATAAAAATCATTTATTTTATTCTTAGCTTCAACAGCACAGCAGCTTCAAAGAGAATTGAGTCAATGCGTGACATTTATTTTGATAGCAAATGGACATCACCTTCCCTTTACCATGTCCACGTTTAGAGGACTGTGTAGCATGTGCTGGAGGCACAGGGTCACATGAAAGAAACCTCCTCCTGAAGTGTCGCGTCTCTTGTGGGGTGAAAGGCCACGGAGTGGTGGATTCTCTAAGGAATTAAATATACCAGGACCTAGTAACAACTGAATCCTGTTCAAAAAAGGAGGAATAAGACTAGACCTAAAAGATACTTTATTTTTTCATGGTTTGGACTCCCCTTGACCTAAAGAAGGTCAAAGAAATGCTGATGTCTAAATTACTAAATACAGGGTCAGCTTTTCTAGCGCATATCTCTTTGTAACTCTAGAATCAACTTTATAGGCCTTTTTTATTTTTTTTGCAACATTCTGAGAAACAGCTTTATAATTTAAGCTGTGCTTGCAATCGCAATGGTGTACAGTTTATCTTTGCGGCTTTTTTGGTTATTTGTTTTTTTAAGCCATTAGGCAACTGAAATTCTTTCCCTACTGAGAGTTGCCTGTCTACCTACCTATTTTGAATTAAACTAAGATTTCTTTCTAAGGTAAAGGAAAAAGTAAGAGTGAGAAATGCCTAGAACTGTGGTGACAGCTCTCACCTCATCCCCAAAATGCTTTTTTAGTGAAGCCAAGTTACACCTGAATCCAGGCCCCCAAGTTTCCCTGAAACCAACAGTATAGTGTGTGGAGAGGTGAGAGGAAGGGGCAGATGGAGAAGACCCACCTTCCTTTCCACTCCTCAGATTCAAACACCAGTGATCCTGTGAACCTTGAAAATATTATGCTGAGTGAGATAAGTCAGTTACAAAAAGGACACATATTGTACAGAATATCTAGAATAGGCAAAGGTACAGAGACCAAAGCTAACCGGTGGTCACCAGGGGCAGAAGGGATGGGAAAAGAGGAACTCACTGCTTAGGGGAAACTGAGCTTCTGTTAAGAGCAACTGAAAAATCTAGAAATAGATAGTGGTGATGGCTGTACAACATGACTAACATAGTTAATATCACTGAATTTAACATGTAAGAAACACTGAAATGGCAAATGTTTACTATATATAGACCTACCACAATAAAAAAAGTTTAACAAAATTAAAAAATAAATTCAGTGATCCTAGTAACACCAAATCATCTCTCCATGATATAAAAATACCAAAATTAGATATTATATCAACTGCTTCTTAGCCAATGATCTAGCCAAGATGCTGGGACGCAACAGCATTCACTTTAACTGAAAAGACCACAAGTCTTCCCACCCCTATTTCCAGTCCATGCGATACAGAACTTGAATTTAGGATGCATCTACATGGGCGCGTGGAACATTTTTCAAGTGACAATTTCAAAGCCCTCGTGTTTTTCTTGGCAGCAGTCTTTCTTCTTGCATGAGTTTTACAAAAAATTACTTTTTCTACAATTGCTCTGCCCATGTAGTTGCTTCGCTAAGTCTTAGGTTGTGGGCAGAAGGATGTGCAGCAGCGGGGCATAAAATACAAGTCAATCGGCAAGAGGTTGTACAGATTAAACCTAGCAATTCCTTCCCCCCACCCCCTTTCCATTTGAACATTCACTGATTAAAACATTAAGTTTCAGCAATAGAATAAATTCAGTAAAAAAGGAGAAAAAAAAAAGATTTCTTAAAGATCTTGCACATTAAATTCTGCTGAGAAGCCTGTTGAGATGCTGATATGGCTCACATGTATTTAAACCAAAAAGGGAACAGATCTTTTCCTTCAGGTGTATATCCTAGAGCAAACCACACACAAAAAATCTACCCTACACTGGAAGCACATTACCTCTTTCTCTTCTTTACATGCATCTAGTCATTTGAGTGAAACAATTATGCTTCATCACTGTTGTTGAATATACCCGAGACCATTTTAAAACAGCAAAACTCCAAACAACTTGGCCTTTAAGAGACACAGTTTTATTAGCCACAGCTTCCTTCCAAGCCTTCAGTAAACTGAAGTTTATTATTAATTTTGCATGAGCATTTCCAAGTAACTAATGGCCAAACAAATTTATATTATAAACCCCATTTGCACATTTATGCAAGAACCAGATAAAGAAGATATTTATAAAATTACATTCTACATATAGCCAGACCCCTCTCCTGCTGCTACCCCTAAATTGAATTTTTATAAATCAAGACTGATTTATTTCATTGCAAAATTACCAGCTTCCTTTGCTCTTCTCCTTGTTTCTTAATTTTAGCCACTTCTCTCCTTATTTCACCAGATGGCAGGTGAAAAGTGAGGAGAAATGAAACCCGGAATTGATAAACTTTTCAGGATTTTATTACATTTCAAAAACTCTGAACAGTTTGGATCACTTAGAGTCTTAAAAGTCCCAGGTATCCATTTCCTTGGTTCTATTCTGCTGTTAACACAAGCTTTAAAGTAATTATAATTAGCGTATACAGCTCACTCAGCAATTTAAATGGAAATTTCTCGTAAACGCATCAAATCGATGTTAGCTGCGATCGCTCAGTCAATTATTTGCCTTTCCAAGCACTCTCCATCAATGTTGCTGCGAATAATCCAACGCTGGTGAGACACACAGAGCCTACGTCCTGTTCCAGCCTGGGAGGGTATTCTTAAAAGACATTTGAAACTCCATACAGACATCCCAGGAACATGAATTTATCATGCACACAATTTAAAACCAAACCAGCACAAGAAATCATGTTTCCATTCTGAGAACTCAAGTGACTAGATTTCCACCTTGGATGAATAACTGTGAACGCCAAGGCTCTCTATGATACCAACTTCTCCTTTGGAAAGACTGCCCCCACAAGATAAAACTTGTGCTTCAAATTTTCCACATGTCCCTTCAGAATCTGATTGGATTTGAATAAAATAAAGCATTTGGAGGAAATGCTTTGATTATGTTTGATTGACAATATTTTTTTAGAGTTCTTAGGTGACAAGAAATTATAGAAGAATGGGATAAGTGAGGAAGGCTTAAATCTCACAAAAAAGTAATAAAAATGCTAACATAAAAGTGTGTGCTGGGATAAATTAGGGCAGAGTAGTTACTGATTATACAAAAGTCCATTTGTGATGGAGGCAGCAGGGGGGTGGGCTCTCCCTTGTCCACTATTTCAAAAGCAGTGTTTTTTCCCCATGTTCAGCGATGCCACGCACTCCCTGACAAAGATTCTTTGATCTTCCCCCATTAAATATATCTTGCATGGACGTAACCTGAACTTGGTAAGAAAAAAAAAATCATTTATATGAAAGGGAAGAGTACTCGTATGTCTCTAATATTATTCATTACCTTTCAAAAATGGAGCTATTTGTGAAGTCTTTGTGTGATACATACATGAAAGATGACTCTGCTGCTTACTTACAGAGTTTTGTTGTGCTTTTGCTTTTTCACTCCTGCCTCAGATCAGATGAGGAACCCAACCGAATAAGGCAATGAATCAGACATCGCAATTTACAGTCAAAAAAAGATTTGACATGATGGTTGAAAATGAAAGATTCCTTACCTGAATTGGAGGGTTTAGAAACTCTTCCTTTAGGAACTGGGAGTAGCAATAATTCCAAGGATTGTGGCGGTGGCGGTGGAGGAGGTGGAGGTGGTGCGGGTGGTGGGGTGACTTTTTCTTGCTTTTTCTCTGAAGGCGGCGGTGGTAGAGGATCTTCAGGCACCAGTGATGATTTCTCAGCCAGAAGACTCCCAGCAGCCCTTGCTGCTACCTCTTTCAGAAGAGCCGCGGAAGAGGTCATAGAAGCCAGGGAGAGAAAGGAGCTGGCTGGAGGTGGGTGTTCCTGACCAGGAGTCAAACTTCTCTCACTGACTTTCTTGGACAAGGCTGCCAAGGTGGAACTGGCAGACTGGGAACTAAAGGGGGAAGAGAAGGACTCAAATCGCATGGTCTCCTCAGTCCTGGTGAGAGATTTGTCCTGAAGAACAGCATTGGCTGCAGCTTTCAGTTTTAGGATGGCTGAATCCGGGGACAAGCCACAGGTGGTGGTTGAGTTTGGCAACCACTTACCTTGATTCCATATAAAACGATTATTTGGAGTGTATTGGTCATTCTGTTCCTGCTTCTCAGCCAACTTCCTGGCAAGAACACTGAGCTGTTGGGCATGGTGGGATGGTGGCGAAAAGGAGAGATTTGAGCCAGTATTTACTGGGGACTCCACTCTGCCATTGGCTGTGGCTGTGGCATCGAGTTTGAGAGAACCAGCCTCCAGCAGCCGTCTTAAGTTGCTACTCAGGGGCTTATTGGAACCTGGGGGGTCATCTTCACAAAATGAAGACACACCAGGGGAAAGGTGATCTTGACACTGCAATGAATCCCGTAGAACCTCACCGTCCAGTGCGACCAGCTCCAAGGTGTGACTACTGGGAGTCGCACTTCCCAAGGAGGTGTCAGGGGAGGTGGACTGCTCTTGGATCCGGTCCTCCAGAGACAATTTATAGTTCTCCTGGACTTCTCCATAGGATGCTTCTGATGGCGTCTCTGAGGAGTTCCCATACCAGTGTTCTCCTTCACTGAGTTCACCCTCCACTTCTTCCTGCCTACTAACATCTGGGGGAATTAAGAAGATTAGGTTTACTCCCATGTCAGCAACAAGCAAGTCTTAAGATATTTAAATGGAATTGTTAACATGCTTCCTCTTCCCTTCCGCCCAAGAACCAAATGAAAGACAGCAATGTCTAGGAAGAGAAAGTCAGGTGCTGAATCAGTCTTACCATAAGCCAGAAAAAAGTAAAAATGCTAAACAGTCAAAGGTAAAACATACTCGCCCACTATGTATATTAATATTTCTAATAATTACTTTAAGATAAATTGAAATGGGAAAGGAAGAGAGAGAAGAAAATGGATCTGTAAAGGAAGTAACTGGAGGAGGAACCTGCTATTTTCAATGACTGGGGAAATGGAAAGAAGCTGGTATGCACACTTGTAAAGAATCAGCATGATACCCCTAGTACGTCAGAAGCAGAGAGGCAGCCTGGTGCAGTGGGTAAACATTGGCTGTGAGACCCAAGACTGTGGGAACCCACTTCTCCACTTTCTAACTCCATGACCTTAGGCAAGTCACTTAGCTGGCTTGAGAAGACATTTCCTCCAGTATGAGATGCAGTTAATGAAAAAACAAGTCTATAAAAAAATGTAAAAAAAAACCTGCCAAACTCACTTCACCCAGTTGTTATGAAGCTTAAATCAGAATAAGCATGTGATCATGTTTTGAAAACAGTTGAGTATTATATAAAAGTCAGATCTCATTAGCAAACTATCATATCACTGATTTCTTAAAGTGACAATACCTCTTATGCTATTCACATTATTCAGTATCTCCCATGGGACTCCTGATTCCAGTCACCAACATGCCCGCCATCTTACCGCAGGCAGTGATTAGGAATTCTCCCCCTCACTCCACTAAGAAACCCACTGCCGTTGAGTAGATTCCGACTCATAGCAGCCCTATAGGACAGAATAGAACTGCTCCACAGGGTTTCCAAGGAGCGCCTGGTACATTCAAACTGCCGACCTTTTGGTTAGCAATTGAACTGTTAACCACTACACCACCAGGATTTCCATGCCACTAAGAGTACCCTTTAATTATTCTCTATCCCTGAATTCAGTAACCCACCACTACCACTCCCCCACCCAACGCCCTCAAAGCAACAGTCAGTCAGGGCTCCTCATCATTCCAGGAACACTTGTGAACTCAGTCACTTTTCTACCCTTGCTCATGATATTCCTTCTGTTTGGGAAGTCTTTCCCCAGAAAACCTGCCTGTCATGTCCTATCCATCCTTCAGGACCCAGCTCAAAGTTCTCTTCCTCATGATTCTCCCTAGAACTTGAAGTCAGAACTAATCTCTCCTTGTTCACTCATCTGAAAGAGCCCTGGTGGCGCAGTGGCTAAGCACTTGACTGTTAACCGAAAGGCTGGCAGTTCAGATCCACAAGCCGCTCCATGGAAGAAAGATGTGGCAATCTGCTTCTGTAAAGATTACAGCCTTGGGAACTCTATAGGGCAGTTCTACTCTGTCCTATAGGGTCACTATGAGTTGGAATCAGCTCAATAGCAACAGGTTTATTCATTCATTCATTCATTCAACAAATAATTATGGAGTACCTGCTGAATGCAAGGCATTGGTCTAGGTGCTGGGAATAGAAAACCAAAATAAAGATCCCTGCCTTCTTGGAGCTTACATCCCAGAGGAGGAAGAGGTGTTAAACAAATAAACAAAAAGAACAAATTTATAAACATAATATGTAGTATGCCAGAGGAGCCCCAGTGGCACAGTGGTTAAGAAATTGGCTGCTAAACAAAAGGTTGGCAGTTGAAATCCACCAGGCACTCCTTGGAAACCCTATGGGGCAGTTCTATTCTGTCCTATAGGGTTGCTATGAGTTGGAATCGACTTGGTTTGGTTTTTGTTTAGTATGCCAGAGGGTGATAAGTGCTATGGGAAAAAAAAGTAAAACAGGACAAGGAGGATTGTGGGTAATGAGTAGCAGGTGAGTTGCAATTTTAAATAGGATGGTCAGGATGGACTTCACTGAGGTGGTGACACTTGAGCAAAGACTTGCAAGAAGTGAAGGAGTTGGCCATGCAGCTATCGTGGGAGGTGTTCCCTGCAGAGGGAAAGTCGCTGTAATGGCCCAGCTGGTGGAAACATGCCTAGCACGTCTGTGGAACATCAAGGAAGCCAGTGTGGGTGGAATGGTGTGAGTAAGGGTCAGAGCAGTAGGAGAAAGTCAGACAAGTAACGTGAGTGACTGTGCGTGTGTGTGAGTGACTGTGTGTGTGTGAGTGAGACAGACAGACAGAGAGAGACAGAGGAGGGCTGTGCAGCTCAGTAAGACATGGTAAACTACTGAAAGGCCTTTTGCATCTGGTGAAATGGGGAATGACTGGAGGGTTTTGAGCAGGGGAGTGATATGGTGTGGCTTACATTTAAAGGATTATCCTGGCTGCTGAGTGGAAAACAGAGTGCAGACACAAGGGTAGGAGCAGGGAGACCAGCTGCAAGGCTGGAAGCAAGGCGAGGGATGAGGGTGATCACCTTGAGGTGAGCGTAGGGGGTGAGAAGGAGGCACATTCTGTGCATATTATGAATGCAGGACCAACAATCCTATGCTATGTTTATATTGATTTTGTATCACTCTAAATTATGTCCACTGTGGGCTTATCTTCTAAAAGGCTTCTCCTTGTGGGCAGGGATTGTATTTTATTATCTACGTTTCCCATATCGTGCCCAGCAGAGTTTAATAAATGTTTAGGAATTGAGTCATAATTCCCCATTGTGCCAAATTTCGCCATATAACATGCTGCTTCTTTTCTGAATAGCTAGAATTAGTAATGCATGAACTACAAGCTAATACATTGATCTTCTCATGCTATTTAGAGAAGAAATGTCACAAATGACAAACTGTCTTTCACTAAGCTAAAGTTATACAACTCTTTCCTGAGATTCTTTACTGAGTTACAAAGAAAATGTAAAATATCAAATGGAATTGGCTGAAAAAAAGCAGACAAAATTGAATTTTCTCTGTTTAAAAGAAAAAAAAAAACTCCGGTTCCTTGATGATTTGCCACATTTCCCTCTTCCCACTTAATTTGAATATTTTGCATCTTTCCTAAAGTCGGTGGTGACCCTGAGCTACATCTCCCCAATGGCTTCTCACAGAGATGTTTTTTCCCAAACACCAAGCAGTCAACATCAATTTCAACATAGGGCTAATTTTATGTTACTTTAGCAGACCATCTTTCTTGGTTTCAAATTAAATATCTTACTCCTCAGGAGAACCACAAGGGAGCTATCCAAAAATAGTAAGAGAAGTAAAAGATTTCAAAATCATTACACTAAGAATTAGTCAACTATCTCCTCCAAGAATCTCTTCTTTGATCCTTTATCGACCCTTATTAAATGAATTAACATAGGGAAATACATGACTCAAAACGAAATACTTTTATGCTGTTCAGGGTGATGAAAAAGTTTTGGAAATAAATAGTATTTGATGATTGCACAACATTGTGGATGTAATTAATGCCACAGAATTGTACACTTAAAAATGATTAAAATGGCAAATTTTATGTTAAATATTGTTTGCTTTGGGTGCCATCAAGTTGATTCTGACTCATAATGATCCCATGTGATAGAGCAGAACTGCCCCATAGAGTATTCTTGGCTGTAATCTTTACAGGAGCAGATTACCAGGTCTTTCTCCCGCGAAGCTGTTGGGTGGGTTCAAACTGCCAACCTTTCATTTAGCAGCCGAGAATTTAACAGTTGCTCCACCAGGGCTCCTTATGTATTGTTTACAACAATGATTTTTTTTAAAGGACTTTTAGACTATACTTTTGTCATACTAGATGTTATGGATTGAATTGTGCCCTCCCAAAATATATGCTGAAATCCTAATCACTGTACCATATGACCCTGTTTGGAAATAGGGGTTTTCCTTTTATGTTAATCAGGTCATATCAGAGTAGGGTGGGCCTTAAACCTAACCACTTCTGAGTTACAAAAAGAGCAGAACAGACACACACAGGGAGAAGAGGAAGATGGAGGACTGAGACAGGCCCAAGATCCCAAGGATTGATGGCAGCTACTAGAAGCTGAAACAGACAAGGAAGGACCTCTGGTGAGAGCCATGCCTTGAATTCGGACTTCTAGCCTCCTGAATTGTAAGACAATAAATTTCTGTTCTTTAAAGCCACTCACTTATGGAATTCTTTTGTTATGGCAGCACTAAGTAACTAAGACACTAGAGTAGCTGTAGATTGTCAAGCTGGGTCCAGAATCAATGCAGAAACAACTAATAAGGTATACAAAATCAGGGTTTTGAGAACCACGAAAAAGTACAGCCAGTTGTCCAGTTTTATTTTATTGAGAATATTAAGTACTCTAAAGGTTACCTGGTTAAATCAAAGACACACAGCCACCTAGTGCTTATGCTGGAACCAGAAGCCAAATCTCTCAACTCCTGTGCTTCTCTGCACAGCCCACTTGCCCAGTCTGCAGAGAGCCCCTGAAGGGCTACTTCCGGTGAGCTCGGAGCAGCCGCCCCTGGTGGAGGCATCCATCCCTCCACCTTATTGAATTGGAAATTAGCAAGGGGGTTCTCTCAGATGAGGACAGGATTTACTCTTTATTTTGAGATAAATCATTATGAAGTGCGTATCCATTACTCTTAGACTCTAATTTCTCTAGCCCTTCTTCTTTTTTGCAGTCTGGTCAAAAACTGATTCAAACGCCTAAAGAATTTAGCACTTCTACTGGCAAAGCCAAAGCTTAATTTCCTACGCCTTCCTGTGCTCATGGACACAAAGGTTAAGGCTCCACTATTAACTAAAAGACTGGCACAGTTTGAACCCACCCAGAGGTATCCCTGAAGAAAGGCCTGGCCATCTGCTTCAAAAAGGCCACAGCTTTGAAAACCCGGTGGAGCACAATTCTGCTCCAACACACATGGGGTCACCATGAGCCAGAATCAACTCCACCATAACTGGTTTTTGGTTCTGGTTTCTATGCTCATGGAGTCCCTGGGTGGTGCAAACAGTTAATGACT